AAAGTCAAACTTTATGGATAGCATTAAGAACACCAAATACATGGTTGTACTCTACACTTAAGGAACAACAAATATATATACATTGTAAAAATAATAATGAAACTGTTGTAGTAATTAAGCGAACAGGAAAAATAACGTTAAAAGAAAACTGTAATTGCAACAGATATGACAATAAAAACAAAAAACGTTGAGCAAATCGCGAATATACAAACTTATTTACCAAATTTTAATTTAACATTTAGCAAAGATCAGAATACACAAAATAAGAAAAGTCCATTGCAAGGACTAAAATTTAAAAAAATTATACAAGATCCGAAAGAATTAATGGATTTCAGTAATAAACTTGAGGAAATAAATAAAGATGTTAACGACAATCTAAAAAATCCATTCGCAGAACAAGCATTTGTCTATCCTATGACAACAAGTAGCATAAACTGTTGTAATTGCCATAATACTTGCCATTATATTAGGAATAAAACTATGGAAAGAGCAAAGTCCATTTTAGAATAAATAAATGGAGCCTCAAGGTTACGAAAACTCGTATCTTCCTCGTTTTCTTTTCTCAACGGGGGGAGGATGTTGTGGGTCCAAAGAACCACAACCAATTATTAATAATAAAATATATATATATTAATAAAATATAAGAGAAGATATCTATTACATATCAGATTAAGATATCTAATATTCAGTTTCCGGCTCATGCGAGACACCGGATGAATCGCGCAGCGAAAACTAAAACCTAATTCACTTTTACGCGAAAATGCTGATGAACGATCGAATTTCGTCAGCAAGTTAAATCGTTAAAACTGCAATCAAGTGCAGTTTCGCGCATATAAAATCGCCGTCGCGAGATCACGACGGCGGGTCTAAAACTATCAGTCACAAGAAACGGACGTATGTCCGTTGGGACCACAAATCTAGAAGAACGCGAATTATAACAATTCGCTAAAAGCGAATAAGAGTAACTTGGGGCTCCGTGATACTACACTAAGGCAAGGATTCCTGACAGAACCTAGTTTATCTAGAAGTAAAGGAATTTGTAATAAAACAAGAAACCAATAAATATACGAGAGACTGTTTTTTATTGAAAAAACGTCAAAGGATTATTCCCGGATTCCCAGCCTAACTCCTCGGCAGATCCCGAATCCGTGCCCTATCACCAAGGGCACAACAAAAATAAGAAAAGTATATATGACATTTTTCTTCAGTGATATATATAGTATTATATGTATATTTTTTATTTATTATTTTGTCATATTTAATTCATATTTATTTGACACCTTGTATACGCCTATGTCTTCTCGGACATTATATTGCAGCCTTGCGACAAAATTTCAGTCGAGAAAACAAGCACAAGCATCGTTTGTTTACAAACTTTCGATGACACACGTACATAGACCACACGTCAGTGTAGTGAGTTACCACTACAAACAAATGCGTACACACGGACCTACGCGGCGTAGGCTATGCCGATAATGTCGTTTCATTTTTAGTACCATCGAAATGATGGCGCTTTTGCGTCGCAGTTCGGCTGCCACTCCAGCATCCTCTTAATGATATTCAATAAAGTTTCTTTTGTCATGGGTTTGGAGAATTCGTAATAGATAGGTTGCTTCCACTTCAAAAAGAGACCACGAACTACTGCAACTTGGCACGTTGTATGCGGTCCGTAAATCTTTTGTTTTTTTCAATCTAAATCTATTTTATTCGCGATATATATTTCATCGAAACTGAATGCACAAAGTTTTTCTATAGTAGTTAGGTGCTGTCTTTTCATCTCCATTATCTTAATTACTTCGTGAAGAATTCCAGACTTCACCTGAAAATCAGCGACCCACTTTCGTAGAGTTGAGACGCAGGGTAATGGTATTTTTATTACTTCTCGACAATAATTGTACGACCTTGCACTCATGCACCGAAGAGCAATAGCCATATTAATATCATCGATCGTCCATGGAATTCGCGATTTCTGCATTATGAGTCGCTTCACCTGTCCAGGTGTAAATATCCTCTCCAGTATACTGCCCGCTATTTCTTTCCCGCATTTATCCATATCTTTTTGCATAATTTCGATCATGCTGCATTTTTCTTTCAGCTTGGCTTGAAGTTGCACGGTCGTGGAAACAAGCTGTTCGTTTTTTTCTCGCATTTCCTTCAAAGTGGTCAATATGTTTTCATATTCCTCTAATGTTGGTGGTTATTTCAATCGATGTCTGAAAAATGTAATGCATAAAATGACAGCGACTGAGAAAATAATTAGAGAAAGGAAAAAAAAGAGAGAAAGAGAGAGAGAGAGAGAGAGAGAGAGAGAGAGAGAGAGAGAGAGAGAGAGAGAGAGAGAGAGAGAGAGAGAGAGAGAGAGAG